AGAAGGGATCTCATGGAGGCCAACTACAGTCCCAAAAATACTAAAGCCAACAATAATCCTATGATAACCTTTAGGAGAATATAAATATACACTACACATACAATATTCTAAAAGAAATGGGGAGTAAGCACAGCGGTCTGTCCCAGTAGCAGATTGCATGGCTAGATTTACTCCACATCCTGTGTGGTGGGTAGAGCAGAGATGAGGGAAGGGCGCCATCGATTCTGATACAGTCTGCATATTTCCACTCTGCACAGGACTGTAAAGGCAGGACATCCCAAACTTCAGCAGAAGTTTAACATGCAGACATAAGTGTTGAACTTTAATGTGGGCCCACACTTATATCTCCTCCTGTTCTGTGTATGGCACTGGTAGAATTCACTGTCACAGCACACAATCAGTGAATTACCATAGGGCCATAAACAGAGTAGAGACAGAACCACACTGCCTGTGCCCGTGTCCAGCAGACAGCTCTTCTCTTCACATCTTCTTTGCCCATTTTGGCACTAGCACATTTTTGCTTTGTTTCTCGTTGCTTGAGCAATCATGTGTAGTGCCAATATGGGACAAGACAGACACTCAGCTGTTCGTAAATATTCTGGTATCACCTGCTTTTTTCCCTATCTTTTGTGAGAGAGAAACTCATAGACAGGAGGAGCAGGGAGGGAGGTTGAGGTTGAACTATGGATCTGATCGACTGCGCCAGCCCTCTCAGATATCACTGGTTGCCATGGAGGCTCATGCTCTATCTCTGAGACGCTGTCCCGTGTAACCTGAACCCTACTCGTCGCACAGATCTGGTGGCCATGACGGGTGCACTCTCCCACAGTGTTTGGCAATGGTAGAACTCACTCTGGTGGGCTGGAAGGATCCGGTGGTTCTAGACTTGCCAACAACTGACTGAGAGCTTTTACCTGCCCTCCACCGTCCCAGGACTCATCACAGGAAGAGGACTGTTTTATGTTTAGGAATGTGCTTTAGACAGTTGTTTACATGGGTGGCAGGTTGAGGGTGTGTGAGTGGCTGCAGGCAGAGCAGTGAGGGGTTCAAATTTGACCATCCCACCCTGAGCGTTCTTGCAGTCTCAGAACACAATAGAAACTCTGCAGGAGGAATAACCAGAAAAGAATCTAAATACAGAAAGTCCAGTAAGCGTGCTGGTTAGGAAAACACCACACAGATTATAAATCCTCTTTGTCCTGCCTCTCTCCTCCCTTAGATGTATGTCCCCTCGAGGTCGTCTTTGGTCACCCTTAGCTGATTGTGACATCAAACCGTGAGTGTAATCTTCAACCTCAAACACTGAAGCTATGAACCAAAGAAGACTTTAAACCACTGGGGCATAACCCATAAATATATACACAGGCCATTAAGCACCAGTCAATAAATCAGTTGTGTTCATGTGTTTGGCTGTGAAACCTGCAACTGCATGCCTGTAGGTGTAAATCCCAAGTGTTTGTGTTAGCAGCAGCAGCTAGCTCAGCTTAGGGTGCAACCTGATCCTACTCACTCAGTCACGAAGGGCACTGCCGAGGTTTATCATAAGTGATGTTAGTGCTGCGTTAAAACATTAAACCCTACTATGCATCGTAATAAACTCCTGTTATTTGTGCTACATCAGCATTTGTCAAACCTACAGTACTTTACAGGCCCTTAAGCTTCCTTTGAGGGCACTAAGATTAAGTCCTCAGTGTTGTTTCTGGGAATTTTTAGGATTTTAACAACCCGAAGGAGATGTTTACATTCTACAGTTACACAGAAACTACACATGTTGATGTTTTTTAAAGATTCTGACCATTTGTGCAGTCAAAATACTTAAATTCTTACAAATTTATGCCTGAAACTTGATTTTGAAATTTCTCCACATAATCAATTCCCGGAATTGAAGGAAAGGTTTTAAAAGTGAAGTTTGTCAATTTTGTATGAAGGTAAAATGTGTGGAAAATATATAAAATTCAGGAAAAGGAAAAAATACCTCAGTATTTCGAAAATGTTGGCTGAGGCCCTGGAACTGTACTAGCCCAGGTTTCTTAAGATGCAAAACTAAAACGTGAACCTTTTGTCTCTTGATGTAATGCAGCCTTTAAAGTTGTATCTTGGATTCAAGCATTTCACTTATTTTAAGTATGATAGCTGAACACTGTATGTGAGTAGTGTAACGGTGTGGATTTTGGGGAGCTTCAGGGAGAATATTAGGAGCCTTATGTTTTAAGTTGTTAAAGTATGAAAATAAAGAGAGAAGTTGTGGCCAGGAAGACACACATTTTCCACATATTTTACCTTCATACAAAATTGACAAACTTCACTTTTAAAACCTTACCTTCAATTCCAGGAATTGATTATGTGGAGAAATTTCAAAATCAAGTTTCAGGCATAAATTTGTAAGAATTTAAGTATTTTGACTGCACAAATGGTCAGAATCTTTAAAAAACATCAACATGTGTAGTTTCTGTGTAACTGTAGAAGAAGACTGAAAGGAGGGACAATGGAGGAGAGATGGAGAAAAAGACGAGGAAAATCTGTGTTCATTATTTTAGTATATTAACATAAATTAGCTGCAAGTATCACAAAAGGCAGAACATTGAAGACAAAACACATACATCACTGGTAGTACAGCTACAGCTGATACAGGTTCATTGTGTTTCGGTATGAACTGTGAGAGGCCATTACGGCCGACTGCAGAGGATGTGAGGTTAAGTGGTGCCAGTGGACGCAAAGAGAGGAAGGAGGGAGGCCGACACACTGACAGCTGGTACGAGTGATTAGGCCGTGTAGTGATGCAGAGAAGGCATCAAAGCTCTTTAGGGAGAATCCCTAACAGGAGTAGGCAAGGACACGCACGCACTCATACACAAACACACACACACACACACACACACTGAATCCTGATACACAACTTCCTGGTTGCTAAAACTGATCCAACAGTGTATAGGCTGTACAGGCCATCTGTCCTTCTCAGATGCATCACCAACCAATGGATTATTAGCAGCTCTGCCCCAGGTCATGCACGCACACAGACACAGACACAGACACACACACACACACACACACACACACAACCCCCCTCTGACTATGGGCTACTGGTATTACAGGAGAATGAGTGGTGTCATTAGATTAGATTGTGTGTGGAGGTGAATGCATCTCCTCATTTATCTCTTACACTAATGGCTGTTTAATTGCTATTGTCTCAACTGTTCCTTCATTTTTGTGCTTCTTGTCTGTTACATTAAAGGATTTCTACACTCATCTCACCGCATAGTGTCAATTTATTGAGTATTTTGAAGATTAGGTCAGAATACAGAGAACACTTGAAAGATTGCCGCCTCCTCTGGACAAAACGATGTTTATTCATTGTCAGTGAGGTATGAAAAGAGTCAGGCATTAGTGACTCACCTTTAGTCTGCTGCCCTAAAGAAACAGTGTGCAGTTCAATAAGGATCTTCAGGCCATGCTATGGCATACACACAAACACAGGGAGAATCTGGATTACAGTAATCCAGGGACAGGGTATTTTTAGGACTTCACGATCAGAGAAAGACAGGATGCAACAATCGAGAAAAAGAGATAATGATTGGCATATGACCAGCTGGATCTTCTTGGAACAGAGTTAATTACTTAGTGTCTAGCAGGAACCAAAACTAATTCTGACCACTAATTCAGCAAGTACAGCTACTGGAATTATCAGAGGTGAAAATAAAATTCTGCCCCAAAGCTAACTGAGACTAAGTAAAAGGAAATTTTGTTGTTCTGAGTGTTTTTCAATATAAAAAACACGTCAAAAACGTATCAGCTTTAGCCTTTACTGTAGGCTTTAACCTTGTGGACACAATACTCCTGTTTTGTTGTTGTGTATGGTGGTGAAGATGGAGAGAAAAGGTCAGAATAAAAACTGACACCAGATCACCTGATTGTGCTGAGTTCCTGTTCTCTGGGTCTGAAGAGAGTAAACAAAGGCAGAGACAAATATTAAGTAGCGGAGGGATGACTGTGGGAGTGTACAGACTCCACAAATCACATTTAAAATTCAATAACTGTAGACACATACCACGTAGTCTAATGAAGCTCTCTCTATAGATAAACTAATTGCTTTTTAACAATACAATACTGGTTAAATACATCTTTATCCCAAGGTATATTTTGTTTCTACCACAATAGTCACAGTAGAGAGGCAGAGCACACTTTTGAAGCAAGAACGAGGCCTCTGGAGCAAAATGACCGGTGCAGAAATAAACTAATGTATTGAATGAATTTCAATATCTGATAAAAACCCTCTGAACATATGTTTTCTGAGCCAATTAGACATTTTTCTGTCAACAAACAACAGTGCAATGAGTACCAGTACAATGCTGGATATGACATTTTACCAGCATATTTTGAATATTGTATGATAATATTACTTGATAATATGCATTTATCGCCCATTTTCTAAACTGGACTGAAAAAATGCAGTCCGTCATACTTGTAAAATTAAAAAAATGTGGTGCAAAGGTGGTGACAGTTTGCCCTGTCAATGTTGGATGTCATCTGTCATTGGATCCTGGATTTAGCTTTTCTTTTGTCGTGTCCAGCAAATCAAGTAAGTAAGTAAAGTTTATTTTATATAGCACCTTTCACAGAACAAAGTCAGAAAGTGCTTTACAAGAAATAAGACCATCAGAAAGGAAAAATAGTAAAGAAACAACAATAAAACAAAAGCAACAACGTAGTAAAATAATAATAAATAATACTCAAACAGTAAAACATAGGAAACATCCTAAAAAAAACATTTAATCATCATTCATCAATAATTTATAATAGTCATATAATCAATTATGCCCATTACAAGTATCACTCAATCACCCCATAGTGGGGAAGGCTCTGCAGCCTTTGTAGAACAGCTGATCGAGCAGGCCCAGCTGGTCAGCTCTGCCATTAGTCGTTGTTCTTTTTTTCTATAGTTCAGAAGTACAAGTCCAAATGCTGTCCTATTTCTGTAATATTACAATTATGAGACAGAGACGGAGGGATAAGTCGTTCTTTTTATTATATTTGATTTGTGCTTAATTACAACAATGAGCTTTTAGAGCATTAAGTCAATGAAAATGTTCACTTTTGTCATTCCTTCATGTTGACGGTCCATCATTGACTCAACAATGCATCAGATTTCAAACACCAACAACACTGTCCCAACACCAGTTCACCATCTAGGATTTGTACATCAACTAGCAATGAGCTGATTGTCAAGTATATCTTTTCAAATGTTTAATAGAGTGTTGGTACGTGGTCAGAGGCTTCATTTAAGGTTCAAATTAAGTTTAGTTAAAAGTAATAATAATAGATTTAAATCAGGGTAATAGGACATGAGACATTAAACTATTTTAAATGTACAAATGTCAAAGACAAGACAGTTGATCACTTGAGATGTCAACTTATAGTCTACATGTGGTCTGTTAAATATATGTTACTGACTCCAATTAATAAATGGAATGGTTATTATTTCAAGGAGAGTAAATAAATTTTGGAGTCCTCATCCACTATCTCTCCACAATATTGACAAAGATTCAGACTGTAGAGGGCGTCAGCCGTCTATCTACAGGACTGTGAGGGTTTTTCCAAAATAACATCCACAACAGCACATCTGAAGAGCTTCTGTCTCTCAGCTTTATGTCCAGAGGGTTAATACCTATTTGAAAAATAATTTCTGTTAAATACAAAAAGAAACATGAGTGTGTTGTTTGTGTAAAGTGTACTTGTCCTCACCTGTAGTAGTTGGGTTTGAAGGGCCCATGTTTGCTGATGCCCAGGTACTTGACCTGTTCATCAGTCAGCTCTGTGAGGTGAGCATCAAATGTCGGCAGGTGAAGGCTGGCCACAAACTCATCTAAAATTATGAACATACATGGTTTTATCATTTCTGAATATAAAGATTTAAAAATCACAAAATTATTTCAGATATTTAAGCTGAGGACTTGCCCATCTTCTTTGGCAGCAGGTAGACATCCTGTTTGTATCGTCCCTCTGGAGCGCTGTACATCTCTATGAGGGCCAATGCCTGATATACAAGGTGAAAGTCTGTGTTAACAAAACTACAGCCGAGTGACTACAAAGCTACAGATGCTTCCTCTGTAAAAGAAAGTAGAAAATCATTTTAAAAGGTATGTTTCAATAAGTAAATAACATAAAACACATCATACCTGAGTTGTAGCTGTGATGGAGAGAACAAATGAAGGCACTGTGGAGCAGCTCAGATTCAGCAAACGGCCCTGAGATAAAATAAAATTTAAACAAACTCTCAAAAAAAATGAAATGACATACTGTAATGTAAGCAGCCACTGATAATAACCTAAAGACTTCTGTGAAGTTTATTAAATAAACTCCAATAACTATGTAGAATAGTCCTCAAGTATCCCTCTCTCTCTCTTCTGCTGCACACCTGATCCAATTAAGAGCTACAGACTTTAACAAATATCAGGTAAATCTGTTCTTGCTGCTAAAACTCATCAGCTTCATTTTTCAGCTAGGATCAGATGTGCATGAGAAGAGCTGTAGGATGGCACTGGAAACACTGCTATGAAACAGTTTTCAAAGCTCAGTTCTGATCTGACAAAAATAAAGCAAGCTGAGCCCTTGTTATTTCTAGACAGGTGCGTGTGTATATCTAGTTACAGGCAGGCATGACTTTAACCTCATAAGTTTCATCAGCTTTATAATTTAAACCTGTGCAGTAGGTTTGGAGTGAAAACACAACTTTAAAAACACAAAGACACCGGTATGTGTAAACACTGTTATTGGAAGGTGTTGCAGTATGCTGCCTTTAATTCCTCTTCATAAGATCCAACTTCTGTCGTCTAGCCAGTTTTTTAAACACTGATAACGGAAAATGTCAAGCTCCCTGTAACGTTAACGTCATTTTAATAAACTAGGAGAGTAACAAGCAGCATGGTAAGTACCGCAATGTAGAAAAGGTCATCCTCTCTCAGTTTTTACAAAAAGATATTCTGTTGGTTCTGTATGGTTAATGCTGGTTAACATTAACCATAGGGGTGTCACATTCTGCCTGTCGGCTATATTTAAGTTTAGCACTCTGTGAGTTTTTGGTCAGTTAGGTATCTGTTATATAGTCTGTTAGGTTTTGGTTTTCAATCCTGTCTATCTGTGGTTATGTATCCAGTCTTGGTGTGTTTGCGTTTAGATTTGGTCCTGTCTGTTTATGTCTTGTGGAGTTGGTCGATGTTGTTCTGTCTTCTGCTTGTTCTGTGTGGTGGTTCTGGTCTGATCTGTTCTGTCATATCTGTGTCTGCCTTAGTTCTTGTTCAGTTCTGTTCCTGTCTCATGTATTAGTTTCTGTACCATCATGCTGGAGTTCTGTCTGTTTGCTAGGTGCCAATTTATGTTCTCTGCTAGTTTCTTTAAATTATCTAATTTTGATCATTCTGCTTTAGTCTCTGTGTAGCCTTGTTATTATCTTATTATTTTATTCATTCGCATGTTTAAGTTTACTTAGTACCGTCTTGTCTCTTATCTTAGTTCCTAGTCCTGTGCCTTAGTTCCTGTTTTAGTGTTTACTTCTGGTCTGTGTACTTCTGTGTTGTTTTGCCCATGTCTGCTCTGAGTTCTGTTTAATCCCAGCTTCGGTCTGTTTTCCCTGTTGGTTGTAGTTATTGGTGATCTGTCTGCTTGTGTCTGTATCAGTTTGTCATTCATATATGTTTAGTGTTCAGTAACTTGTGTTGTCTGTTCCCACACAGTAATCTGCCTGCCTGCCAGTCTCTCTGTTTTCCCCTGCTGTCTCTCTGCCTGCCTGCCTGTCTTGTTAGTCCTGATCCCTGTCACCTGTGTTGCTCCCGTCCTGCTTAGTTCCTTTGTATAATGTTTGGTGTTCCTGTTCATTCCCTGTCTGTTCATTGTAGCGTGTAGATGCTCTGTCTCATGTAGAGTGTAGCGTATAGTGTATAATGCTCTGTCCTGTGATGTCCTCTGTCTGCCCGTTTTCCCCCGCCAGTTCTTGGTTTTCCAGTTGGATTATTTGTTCGTTGGGATTCTTTTATTTACTTTGAATACCCTGGACTCAGCCACTCTGTTTGTAAGTGTGCTCGCCTTTGTTTAATTAAATCTTTGAACTTTACCTGCTGCGTTTGGGTCCACCAACCTTTGCAACCACACATTCGTGACAAGGGGAAGCTTCAAGCTATGTGAGATAAGACTGGATATCAAACGAAAGGATATCAAACTTATCAAACTTAATCATTTAAATCAATATTTCATGTCAGGTGATTTGTGTATTTTGTAAGTGACTGTAATAAACAGGATAATGTGCAGGGAGCCTCTTCAGGGTGATCAAGACCCTAATTCAGAGCACACTGTGGGGCTATATTTCACAATAAACAGGTTTCTGAACATTATGCTGGTGTATAACAATAATAAATAGTATCATCACCTCAGCCAGTAGGACAATTCTCTTGCCTTCAGGCCAGATTATATGGTCCACATGAGGCCTCACACGCTCCCACCTCAGCTCTGTAGTGCGAAGACTCGCCTAAGAAGCATAAGTCCATATAATTTACACACACATACAGTACACGTATACAGGTTTATATACACACACATAAAAAACATGCATAAAGACACACACAGTCTACGTTAATACCATGTCTATCTCAGTGCTGGCATGTCCCATGTTGCAGACTATGCAGCCATTCTTCATTCTGTCCAGATGTTCCCTCCCCACCACGTTTTTATTGCCTGCACAGAAACAGATAGAAAAGCTAACTGGAACTATATTGATAGTCTTCATAAGAGCTAATTCTACTTAGCAGGGGACAGCAGTTACCTGTGCAGGTGATGACCATGTCCACCTGTCTGACCACTTCACTGAGTTTAATCACTCTGAAGCCATCCATACTGAGGAGAGGACAGAAGGGGTCACAATGTTTAGCTACAGTGTACCACGGAAAGAGTGAAATACACTCTGTGCTGAAATGCATCATACCAAGCCTGAAGTGCACAAATGGGATCCACTTCTGTGACGTATATGACAGCACCCAACGCTTTCATGGCGGCGCAGCAACCTTTGCCAACCTACAAGGAAAGAGGCAAGAGGTTGGTAGAGTTGCTTAAATGTAATAATTCTTTAATATGTGCAGTAGCGCTGGAAACATGATTTTGTTTTTACTGACCTCACCATATCCGCACACCACCACCTGTTTTCCTCCAAACATGACTTGAGTGGTTTGCTTCAACCTGAAAGAAGAGTTCAACACAGTCAGGCTGTTGCTCTGTACTGTACCAGTGGATTTTGCCCATTTACAACATGATTCATTACCCGTCCAGTATGGACTCCTTGCAGCAGTAAAGGTTGTCAAATTTCTGCTTGGTCACAGAGTCGTTAACGTTCATGGCTGGGACGCACAGCCTGCCTGCTTTTGACAGCTGGTACAACCTGAAACGCAGGCAGAGACATGGGAGTGAGCTGGAGAATTACTTTGTAAACTTGTAGGAACATCATTTAAGTGTGTGTGGGTGTGTGTCTGTGAAACCAACCGATAGATGCCTGTGACGCTTTCCTCCACGATGCCTTTCAGCTTCTTGAACAGGCTCGGGTACTTCTTACAGATCCAGTGGGTCAGGTCTCCTCCGTCGTCCAAAATCTGACCGGGGGGGGGGGTGGGGGGGGTATATGTATGTAATGTAGCCTTTCTAACCGTGGTTGTTCAAAAAAACACTTAACTGGAAAGGTCAGTTAAAGGCACAGTTCAGCCAAACACAAAGTTAAACTTAGTTTAAACGTATCCATCGAAATCTATCCAGTTCCTCTGTGGTGTGCTGGAGATATTGGTTGTAGTTCAGCTCAGATCAAAGCACCAAAAACATGTCTTTCCACATTTAATGACTATTTTACTCAGAAATTCACATATCTTAAAATGTCACAAGAATGTCTGAGTTTCCATAAGAATATTTTCATGAATTGTTAAGCACCACTGGTCAAATGCTAACAAACTACAGTTTCAGATTTTGGCCCATCAGTCTCAAAATTAATCCTGAGTACTTTCTGTTCTTTGCTTTCAGGTCACGTGGCCATGTCCAGAACATCTCAGTAACAGATCACAGTACCATGTTGGGCTGCCAGGTCTCAGCACCGATGCATCGGTCAATGCACCACCAGAAGTCGTGCTCTGATTCTCCTCTCCACGCAAACACTGAGGTGCCTAAGAAAAAGAGCAGGTGAAATAATTTAGAGAGAAATTAAGCAGGCACAAAAGCCAGATGAGTCCGGTTCTGACGGTTGTACCTCCTTCAGCCAGAGCAGCAGCCACCGCGTTCTGAGTGGAGAAGATGTTACAGGCTGCCCAGCGACACTGAGCCCCCAACACAGAAAGGGTCTCAATCAACACCTGCAAGAGTCAACAAAACACATGTAAACCTTCAGTTAGTCTTTTTAAACTTCATTATAATTCTCTTATTTCTAATGCAGAATAAATAAAAACTCCCCTTTCTCCTCAGACACTCTGATAAGACCATATTTGTTGAACTCACCGCTGTCTGTGCAGTGATGTGTGTGCAGCCCACCACTTTAGCTCCAGCCAGAGGTTTCTCCCCACCGGCTCTTTTCCTAAGGAACATCAGTGCTGGCATTTCTAAATATCACAATCAGTAGACAAGTGACACTGAAGTTGTAAACAGACATCATGAAGGCGCATATTTATTTAATCATGGATTAATATTCTAATTTTATCTCTTCTTCTTGTGTGTTACTTTACTTTTCTGTCAAGTCTTCTTGGATGGGCGCTATCTAAATGATATTTTATTTTGTCATGATCACTCAGGAAGACGTAAACAGTGGTTTGACGACTCTTTGACTTTACCTTGCTGCGCTATTTCTATTTCTCTGCGTCCAAACTCAGCCTGTGTGATGTTCTTGACACAGAAGTCAGACAGGCCGTTGGACGTCTTCTGAAGCTTGTCTCTGGGAGAAGACTCATCCTCTGAGCTGTCACTGCACACTGCAACACGGAAATTAGGCATTTTATATAAAAACAATCAGCTAATGTCGTGGTTTAAAGTTGGCTTTGGTTTTCCAGCCTTAATTGCTGTTTCTACTACAGTGTTTGGAATCAGACTCTAGCTAGGTGAGTCTTTTCTCTGAGCCTTTGAAGTCTGTATAGACTCTGGCAGTGATTGACACGTATGAGAAAGGCTTACAGAGCCGAGTAGGACCAAATTAAAGAGACTTAATTCTTCAGTGGACTTTTCCTTTTAATTAAGGTTTTAGCTGAAGGAGAACACGCCAAGGCTAATCCTCGGGGGTCTGTAGTTCTCATGCTGCTGGGGTCAGAACCAGCTCAGTTTATATATCAAAGACATGTGATCAGACTTAGGAGCGTATGTGTGTTTGTTTTCATGTTTCCATACCAGAACTGTAGCTATCTGTGGACGACTGTGAGATGGAACGAGACAGAGTGCGACGAACAGCCTTGGTGGGACGTTTGTTGAATTCTTGCTTCTGGTCAGTGAACTGTATTTGCTGTGGAGCCAAGAAATAGACACAGACAGACAAAATGAACAGAGAGTCAGAGAGAGAAAAGTACCAAGTATGTCACTTGTTGCTTCACTGCATGTCACAAGCATAAAGTCTCAGACCTGATGTAGCCATATTAGCCAAAATTGCACCCTTCACCGCTGATTTTCGAATAAACTACCATCTGTCTGCTCACAACCTGTCACAATCACAGATCTCCTTCTCTTCTTCTGATTCTACATCTGTTGCTGCCTCACCATCCAGTGTGACTGTTTGAAGGCTGGGCTGCTGCCACAGGAATCCCATTTGTCCATGTCCGTTACCTGGCTGTCCGCCTGAATCTGCAAACTCAACTAAAGTGCTTATTCCCTCCTACTACAATATCCTGCTTTTATTATGCCTTTGTTCTTTTTCTTGTGCATGTATACACCCCCAAGCTGACCCCACCTCCAGATAATAAAGCATTGACTGTTTGGAGCTATAGAGCTGCAAGTTTGATGGGATAGTTTAGTTAGACAGGATTAGCATATAACCCTAATCCTATTCTGCAGGTATATTATACTCATGCATATACACACAGTGCTGGATCAAATAAGGGCATTTAGTTAAAGGGGCACTCCACCTGTTTACTCACTGGGAGCACTACCCAGTCAGTGAAAGTAATGTCTTGGAGGAACTTTGTCAAGAGAAAATAACCCTGGTGATGTCATGGTGATGTCATCTGGGTTATCTCGGCTTGGGCTCAATATTATATTGCTGCAGTACTGGAGGCTGCAGTTTCAGGACCCCCGCAATCCTGGGATCGCAATTTTAGGACCATAGTTTTTAGCGCCATCTAGGGGATTGGTGGTGGTAATGCACAGCAACACAAAGGAGGTTACCCTGTCTGCTAGCAGGTTGGCTGGCAGTATCAAAGAAAACAAGGGTCCTACAAATGCAGTCCTAGGATAGGAGGAGCTACATACTGCTCCTTGGGCTTGGAGACTACATATTTTTAACACAAAGCTTTAGTTATAAAGTGGATGAGGACTTTGAAAGATTTACCAGCTAGGATAACAAAAGATACATTCTAGGAAAGGAAGCATCCAGTTTTTTTGGAAACTTGTCTCAAGTGCAGATTTTTACCTTTTGTCCCTCAACACTTTGTCACAATGAGTCCTTCATCAGTTTTAAAGTAAGTCAAGTTCATTCGGTCATTTAGATTAGAGTGCACAGAAGAATCTAGGAAGACATTTTAGTACAAACAGATTCAAGATTACAAAATATGAAGTTCAGGGCTAAATGACATGGGACAAAATGTATAACAATAACAAGTTGAACTTGTTCCAACAAGGTTTTGCATTGTAAATTTACATTTGAATATTACAGTGTAATATAAGAATGACTTCAAGATAATAAAGAATGCTTGTATAATTTATAATAAATGTAAGTTTAATTTAAGTCTCCATATTCAAGTTCTCTGCTCATAACTAGTGACATTCATTACAGTTGAATCGGGTCAAGGCATCACTATCATTAAGGATTAAGAGAGGCATCTGTCATGTCATGCTGCTAATCAAAACTCATATCCTCGTTAGGAGCAATTAAGGCTGAGATGGACATTTAAATTGAGGATCTCTGTGGGGGTTTCTCAGCACTCTGCTTTCCTCTGACTTTAATTTGATTTTTATTTTATTTTCATATTATATGTTGTATGACATCACAAAGGGGTGTGATCCCAGTCTTTGTCCCCTCATTTCCTGTCAGTTACATTTGGTATCTAAAAAGGCAACATATAAACAAGTTATGCGCTGCAATTTTTATTGTCTGTTGTCCCACTGTTCACAAAAAACTAAATCTGTTATCAGTCACCATTAAAACATATTTACAGCACCTCCACTTCATCACTTGTGTTTTATTTTATGTTTTTAACATATTTCACATAAATTGATTATATTTTCATCTTAATCCACCAGATTTAAAACACGCAGGAGCACAACAAGCTCCACTTTGATTGGCTGATAAAGGTTTCAATTCAACTTCTTTTAAAGTAAAATCTAAATTGATCCACTTTGCTGACTTGGTACTTTAATATGAAAACAATGAATAAAAAAAGTTTAGACAGATCAATGAAAAATAATATTCCCACACCATGGAATTAAAATAAAACAAAATTCAAGCACTGGTGCCTGTTCAGACACATTTTAACTATTTTTGTTCTAAGTAATGATCATCTGAAGACATAATATAGAACATGTGTAACGGCAGGCACTTACTCAAGCAGCTGCTTAATCTTTAACACAAAAGACATTAAGCTGTGAGTTGGACCAGTGTGAAAGTTAACTTAATGATCACAAACCAAGTAGTAAAGTAGAATGAAAGCCAATCATTGTTTTACATTTAAGTGGTTGTGGGTTGTCAGTGGTGGAAAAGAGGCTTATATGTAAAGGGGGAAATTTGCAGCATGAAAAAGACTTTAAAAAAAAGTTTCTTCTCTTCCCTTAGAATCAACATAACCCAAGAAAAACCAGTAGAGCAGTAGAGCAACAGAAAAATCACAAAGACTGTCACACTATTATCTTTAGATTGTCATTATTCGTGTCTAAGCAGCATTTTACTGTTGCTGTTGCTTGAGGTAGAGCTACAACTAGTTTTCCTTCCTTAATTATGGATTAATATGCTGATTATTTTCTCGAGTAATTGGTTTGACTGACTGTGAGTGACACTTTCGCAATATTTAGTTTCCAACTTGTAGTCGAAACCTCAAAATAAATAAAAAATATTAAAGTAATTACAAGGAAAAGCAGAAAATCTTCACATTTGAGAAGCTGTAAACATTAGATGGTTTGACATTTTTACAAGAAAAATGGCACAATTGATCAAATTGGTTGCAATTAATTTTTTTGTTTGTATATTGTCAGGAAAGTAGTTTAATTTATAATAAGAAACATATGTCCTAAGCTCTTCGTATGTTTTGTTTGCAACAATCTTAGTGTGTATAGTATAGTAAGTAGTATAATCGCTTCATATGTCATATAAACAGAACAATATTTCCCTCTTAAACTTAGAGCGTAAAGTAGAAATATGAAATAGAAGTACCTCAAACGTCTACTTAAGTAAAGTACTTGAGTAAGTGTAAATTCCACCACTGCTTCCACCAAATTGAACATGATGACCTGAGTCTCTGCCTTCCAAAAGAAAACTCAAAAATGGTTCCCATAAAGAGAGTAACAACGCTTCCAAAATAAAAGCAGTGATACCTTGATGCAGATGGACTGCACTGCCTCTTGGTCCTTGGCTTTAGCTATGTTCACTAGACTGTACACTTTCTTCATGCTGGCAGAGAGCTCCCTCAGTGACCACAGCAACTCTGCAGAGTTGCAGGCTGATGCTGCTGAACTGAACGCAGGGGCGCTTTATGCCACGCCCTCGCCCAACAGGCCCAGGTGAAAGGTGGAGAGAAGTAGGATGACAAGGGCAAACTAAGGCCATTGAAGGTAAAAATAAATAATTAAAAACATTACGGAGCCTTGGGAGGAAGGTAATATTTCGATAAAGTCGTACATTGAAGAGAAAAAAACTATTCTCTGAGAATATAGCATCATACCTTTGTGAGAAAAACTCAAATTCTCTGAGATTAAAGTCACAAATTTACTAGAAAACAAACTTTTTTTCAGATGTGCTTGTTATTAAAGGCTCTTAAATCAGATGTTAATAACAGCCATCACATATAAGCTCATTTCACCAACCAATACTATGAGATACTTCCTTCTGTTCAAAGACCAAAAGTTTTAAAAAAGCTGCAGACATTTATAAATGACTAAAATGGGATACATATGCTTTCAAGTGGCTTTGTTGCAGTCCCGCACAAGTGCCTGACTGTCTGAAAGCTCCACCTCTTCTCACTGACCCTTGTCTTATAATGTCTGACTAATAAATGATAAAACACTATTTTTCAGCATTATTTCTATGTAAATTTACCACTTTAATATTTTCTCAGACTATTACCCCCCTCTCTGGCTCCATAATTATTACAATGGCCCTAATATGCTCTAGTAGAGAAGACAGAGAGAAGAAAGTGAGGTTTACAGATCAAAAAAATCATTAAAAGTGAAGTGTGTGATATAAATATAAATGTAAAACACAATCATTTTCAGCGGCAGAGGGAATAAGCACTACCACTGAAAATAAATGGAGTAAGTTTACAATAAGAACTTGCATACTCTACAGAGATGAAGAGCAGAAAGAGAGTGAGGAGAGAGAAGCTCAGCTAAGTGTACCCCTCTCCCAGGTTATATCTTAAATGATCTGTTATTATCTGTTTGTGAGAGAGACAAAGAGCGCAGCTACGGCGATTGAAGAACCAGCAGAGTGAAAAAACACAAGCTTTGTAGTTTCATTCAGGGACACAGATGGCAGCTTAGGTTTCTTCAAGTAAGTCACACAACAGAGCTGCACTTTACATTATATTGTCATTGTTTTCTGGCCACTAAATGATTAAATCAAATCTGCAGTGTTCTCATAAGTCTCCACCAATTTTACACATTCTGATGTGTTCACCTGTCATGGAAAAACAAAGCCTGTAAAAACTGTAGTGTTATGTCTTTTGTGACTCTGGGTCGTGTCTAGATTGTGAACCTGGATTGGCAAAACTCTCACACCTGGCTCTGCACGCTCTAGCAATGGCAAATATAAAATTATTTAAGGATGGCAAAGTGAAGTTATTAACCTGTTAAACATATTTTAACAATTTTTTGTAATAATGTCCACGTCTGAATTACTTTAAAGGACTAGACCTAGTATAAAGTCCATGCAGGGAGGAGGTTGTAATGGATCAAACACAGGACTTTTACCCAGGAGGCCTCGGTTCATGTCCTTTGTGAAACCAACGTAAATGTTAACTTGTTTTTAGACATAGATGACTTATTATTTTCATTACAAAACTGCTTGGTTAGGTTTAGGAAAGGATCATGATTTGGGTTAAAATAATAAGTCTTGGATGTGACTGTGTTTATGAAAGGCTCTGAAGGCACACGTCTCCCACGTGCACAGTGGGCACATTGATGCAACAACCATCTAGGAATGACAGTGACTCTGGAGGAGCTTTCTAAAGTCAGAGAAAAAAAAACTGGTGGTGTCATAATGACGTCATCATAGTAATCTCAGATTGAATTCTAACATATACAGTAACACTCACCAGACCTGTAAATATACTAATGTGTAAAATCAGAGTACTTCTCCTTTAACTGTGCCCTGTCTTTTCAAACATGATATGTGTGTGAGAGTGCTGGTCGAACATTCACAGAAACCTCACATTGTAACTAAAATCATTAACAGCCTAAGTATGTGCAGATTTGCGCATCCTGTGGAGTATGCTTACAGATGCACATAATGTCTTGATCAAACTCAGTCAGTATGTGCTTGCTCACCATGCCAGTCTTCAGAGCTTCAGTCACCAGCTCTCCTGTTTCAGCCTCTGAAGCGTTGCTGTCTCGACCCCGAGGTGTCCACCTGCTCTCAGCTGCCTTCAGAATCTGCAGCAGGTTAGGGCTGCATTTCACGGACTGATCAGTTATGGTTTCCTCTCTGGTAGCAGAAGCACCCTCATCTGCCTCTCCATTCAGCACAGCTCCGTCCTCCATTTGTGGTTCAGGATATTCATCAGGTAGTGAACAGTCCTCCCAGGAGGTTTCTGTCTGGTCCTTCTCCTTTTCCATGGCTCCGTCGACAGCCAGTAATGAAGTGAGTCAGATTCCTTCTCAAGTGATCTGACAGCAGACCAGGTGACGGCTACATGCCATACCATCATACCCTGCCCACATATGTTCGCTGTTTCCTCCTACAAGGCATCTGTTTACTCTAAACAGCAGTCCGTGCGTTACTATGACTAAATGAAGATAATTAGTGGTGGATCCTGTGTGTACATGGTAAACACTGATGTTAGCACTGCTTTTTTATCACAGAGGGAAACGTAACCTGGAAATGTTGGAATGTAGCTCACTTCTACCAAAGTGCCATGTCAACATGTGCACTCATGTAGTCTTTTGTACTAAAAGGTTTGCGTTAAAAAGAAGCACTTATACTCAAGACCTCAGACATTTAGACTTGCAGAGCCACTTTTGTGTTGTCTTTGACAACATTGGCTGAAATCACACAACACAGAGACATGTGTGCAACGCAAACAGATGGTTGAATAACAAATTATGTGTTTACTTAGGGCCCAACCACTATCAATACTGCCCCCACGCTGACTGACCGCTCACTTTACTTGTCCTTTGCCAGGCTGAAAGACGAGAGCGTGCCAAACGTAATGGCTAAATATCACACTGATATCCACATTTGTTAAATAGGCTGGTTTACTTATCAGATATGAAGTACATAATGTTAAGGTTTGAAGTTAAATGTGGTTTTATGAGGATATGGTAATAGTTAAAGGAAACGTTAATTTTGCAAGTCTGTCCTTAAAGCAATTGTCAGGTTCCCATAGGAATATCAAAACATGCTGAATAGGGTTTTTGCTCAAGTAGTAGCCTCTGAGGCTGAAAGATTAAGCCAACCCATAAGTGACAAAAACTGCAGTATGGAGTGTTAAAGTCATGTTTAATTAAAGGCATGGCTGCTTTGAGTGACAGGTGGAGGTTGTCACAGGTGGCTTACCGCAGGAACCAGGCGTCTTTTGGATTAGCCAAGAGTTAGGCGAATCAGGCACTGCCAAGACTGTGCTGGCCAGAGCCACCCACATCGCTCTTCAGACGTGTATGAGTGACGTCATGAGCACTACATCCCTGTTTTATACAGTCTATGTTTCTGGCCCCCATCACCCCCATTACATCGCAATAGGAAAGGCTCTTTTAAAGGCAAGAACAGGATGGATGTTTGCAGCAAGCAAAACGTGTTTCAAAGTCATATGGGCACCTGACTAATGTTTTAAGACAGACATACAAATTGTGCATCTTTGCTTTAAGTTTAGGTTGTTAGTGAAGTTAAGGTTTTAGTTTACATTGGGTGAGGTGTGCATGCTGTGCATCCTGATAATTGCATTTCGGTTCTCTGAGGGGTCTGGCGACTGGTTGTTGGAGGGGTGGGGGACCGGGAAGAAGGGGTTGACGGGGTGGGTTGGGGGTGCGGGCTGGTCCTTTTTGAGCTGGTTGGGGGGTGTCTCCTCTGGATTTTAGTGCCCGGACTGGATGCTTGGTGGTTGTGCCGGGATCCTGTGTATGGAGGGATTGTGCTTTGGGGTGTGTCGATGGTTGCTTGCAGTCGCGTCGCGGCCCTCTGGAGTGTGGTCGTGTTGAGTCCTAGGGGCGATTTGCATCTGCTGACTCCCTAGGGCTGAGGGGCTGTTGCTGCTGTCGTGGGGTGATTGCTGTCTCTTTTCTTTGGGGACGGTGGGGGTTTGTGTGTGGGATGCTTCGCTGCTAGGGAGGGAAGGGAGCGGGGGTGGGGGTCTTCTGGCCTGACCTGGCCTGTGTGGCATTGCCTCCTGGGTGTGGGCCGACCTTCGGATCTGGGCTGTTGGGCCGTTCTGTCCTTGGGTGGGGTCCTTGCTGCCCCGGACCTGCTCCCTTGGGGGCTGGTGGTGCTCGGAGTGCTGCTGATTGTGGGGGAGCGGTGAGGTGAGGGGTTAGCAGTGGGGCTGCCGGAGGGGCCCCGGCGAGGACGGGGGATTGTTGGACTTTGGGTTGGGGCTGCACTGACCTGCCTCTGGAGTGTGTGGGGGTCTGGGGCACGGGGCTTTGGAGCCTCTGGGTCTGGGGCGGGTCTGCGCGCTGGGGGGGCTGGGCCCCCCTGGGCCCGTCCTGGGGATGGGCGGGGTTGTCACTGACTCTGGGGTGCTACCGGTGCTAGAGGGGCTCTTGCTATAAGCCCTGGGCTGGAGGGACCTGGCGTCCTCCTGCTTAGGGGGGTGGGGGACGGGACTGAATAAATGATGGGGCCAGTCAGGAATCTGGTCTTCTAGCCTCCCTATGACCTCCTTCACCTTTCCTCCTTTGGTCATGTCTCACAACATACACCCTTAGGATCCTGGGGGACGGGCAGCCTGCAGGGCGTTTGGGGGGTGGGGCTGCTTTATTGCGGCCTCGCACTTCTTCCTCCCTCACTGCCTGTCCCTCAATTTTAATTACACATTAGACACAGAGGGCTTGGGGGGTGGGAGGGGCACGATGGGAGGCTCCACTACCTGACAGTTGTGGGGTGCCTGTGTCACAACTACCCTCCAATTTTAGTTGCACCTTAGTTACCACACACCTTATCTTCACTCCACCATACAACACTTCACAATCCATGACATGCATCCAACACAAAACAATACATTTACAGAGGCAGGCAGAGGGGTTGAAGGAGTGGGAGAGATTCTCATTGGCCTCGTGTCCTACCCCTGGAGCCCCGGGCGTTGGGGGTGCTGTGGGGTTGGTGGCGGCCTTGCCTGATCTGGGGTGGGCTGGGGGGGGTCGGGGCTCCCCTGGCGTGGGGGCCCGCCCTTGGCCTAGGGTTCTGCGGACTCGGGCTTGTGGCCTTTGCTCATTTCTGGGCGGGTGGTGTGTCCCTGGGCCTGGGGGCCCGTTGTCTCCTCTCCTCGCCTGGGCCCTCTTCGGCAGAGGTGAGGCTCCCGCTGCTTCCCCCTGCCAGCTCTCTCACGGTGGGGCATTCGGGAGTCTCTGGGGCGCATGACCGGTGCTGTCGGGGTAGGTTTTGGTGCTCCTCCTTGGGGGTGCTTGACTGGGGGGGGCTGGGCCCCTGTCTGGGGATGAAATCGGCCTCGGGGGCTGCTGTCACTGGCTGCACTGTAGGGAGGGATGCCTCTGGCTGGGCTGGGGGACCGTTGGCCTGGTTCTCCCGCGTTATCGCTCCCTGGCGGTAGCGAGCTTCCCGGCACGGCTTTCTGCTGTTCTTCCTTGGGGCGGGGTACAGCTTCTCCCTGGACATGCGGTCTGGGGTCCTTTGCGCTTTGGGGGGTCGCAGGGTGTCCTGGCTTCTGGGGGTGGGGGTCTGCGGTGGGATTGTGGGACGATTATCGATGCATCTTGATGTATTATACTTTTTCCCTGGGCAGGGTCTCTGGATGGCTGCTGGGCGTTTAGTTTGTGCGTTGGAGTCCGGGGGAGGCATCTCCTCGTTGGCTTGGAGGGACCTGTTTGCGTTCCTGTTTTGCTTCGTTGGCCTCGGATCCGTGCTTGCCCATTTCTCTGTCGGCCAGTTGTTGGACCCCTCTGGATACTGAGGTATATAGTTAGTTTTCGGGATGTGCAGTGTGGGTGCGGGGCAGGGCTGTGCTCCGGTTTGTTCTGGGTTTGTGCCTGGAGTTCTCGGCCCTTGATGGATGGGTGGGTTGTTGGTGGCATGCAGCTGAGCTAGTTGATTTTGCCTCGTTGCTGGTTTGGCTGGTGTTGCATGGCGGCCGGGGGCGCGCTGGGCATGGGGGATGTCGGCTGGCGCCGGCGGCCTTAGTTTTTTCCGGCAGTTGGGGGGACGGTGGACTTTTATTGGCGGGTGCACGGTGACCTGTGCGGCGCGTTTGCTGCCGGGCTGGGGCTTGCTGCTGGTGTCTCTCTCCGCTGGCTTTCGCTGTCGTGTTGTTCCGTTTGCTCTCTCTCATTTGCCCGACCTCGCACGCGGGATTCGCGGGGGGCTGCTGGGCATGGGTGTCGCCGTGCTCGCGCAGTGTGCGTGTTGGGCTCGTCACTTGTGCATTGGTGTTGATGATTGCGTGGCATTTGGGCATTGTGGTTGTTTGCTGCGCGGCGGTGGGGTGCTGGATGGGGGAGGCCACTGGTCTATGTTGTGTCTGCGACGCGGTCGGTCCGGGCGCTGCTCTTCCTCTTTTGCGTTCCGTCGGCATTACGTTGTCAACTGGCATTTGGGTCGGGGTCTTCTGCGTTTGCATCGCGGTGCATCTGGGAGTCTTTGTTTTTTTTTGATTTGATTTATTCTTTTTCTTTCTTCCACCCCTATTGGCTACTGGGGTTCTTGCCTGCCTGTTACAGTCGTGGCGTCCCACTCTCTCTAACAACTACATTCTTTAACAGGCTTATGCGCACACACATGTACATACACACATACAGACACATTCACCCACACGCACACAGACACACACAGACACAAACAAACTTAGGTTGTCCCTGGTAGAATTATTCCTGATGCCTTTCTTTCAGTTACTTATTTAAATTAATTATTATTCCAGCTCTCGTGGCTGTGTTGTGTTGCTTATTTAGTGTGTGTGACTGTTTCTTGTTTTCATTGTTCTCTTAGTTGTCTTAATATGTCATTAATATGTCAGCTGTTTATTGCTGCTGTTCGGCTGGTTTTCTTTTACTATTATTATTATTTTTATTGTTTTTTTTGTTTGTGTTTGTTTGTTGTTGTTTTTCTCCTCCCCAAGCCCCCCTCTCTGTTCTCTTGCAGGTTTCGTTGCTTTCTGCAATTGGTGTTTCCCACAGCTTTTCCCTGTTGTCCCCACCCTCCATCCCCCTTTCCCCCTTCTCTTGCAGGTGTTGTCCTTTCTCTGTGCTGTCTGTTTGTGCCCCCCCATCCCCGTGTCTGCCCCCCTGTCCGGCCCGGTGACAAATCAATACATAATTAAATAAATAATAAAACAGACAAAGGAGTATTTTAATACTCTCTTGTTAAAGTAAAATCTGTCTGGCACAATATGGTATCCAGGTCATTATACTCTATACCAGGCTGCTGGGCAGGACAGGTTTAAAAAAAAAAAAAAAAAAAAAAAAAAAAAAATACATTGGGTGAGGTGGATCAGTGTGAAGGTCAGCGAGAGACTTTGGTCTCTGCCTGTAACCATGGTGA